TTTCTGAAAGCCGCGAGCAGGCGCTCTATGCGCCCCCTCGTTATTAGGGCTGAAACGAGTGTTGTTATTGGTGTGGTGATCGTCACCGCGGTTTTCTTCCTTGGCGTCTCCGCAGGGCCGTTTCGGGGCGAGCTCACGGTCCGAGCGAGCAGCCAAGCGACCTGTGAGCGGCGGCGCCTGAAACTTTCGGCTTCCCTCACCCACGCACTCACACCCACGTTTTCGCCAAGTCCCCGGCGACCGACGACGGGTGTTTGCTGGAGGGAGAGGACTAGAGAGACAGAAGGCGAGAACGAGAGACAGAGGGGGAGAGGGGGGGAGGCTGTAGAGACTCACTGTATGTCAGAATGCGTCCTTGATCATTCAGATTGATTTCAGGTTTTCCGTCTGTACGTTCAAGGCTATGGCGCGCAACAGCACATTTTCTCCGGTATCAATACTTGATTATTCACTATTATGTTCCAGATTTTTAGTGCAAGTCAAACTAGATTTTTACGTCTTTAAGCAGCCATTGAGATATATCATATACAATCTATGAAATACATATCACACACCACGTCTCTATATATATACACATTATAGAGATATTATCTGTCATACCATAATATTTAGATTATTGGTATACTTGTGCAGGATTAATCATATCATATATTTTTAAAATATGAATCGACCTTTAAAAATATAACTTCTTTCGTCATCTCTCGCTGAAACGTTCTTTTAAATATATATATATTTTTTTAAATTATAAGCACTTTTCCGTCTACGCCCAAAATGGACACTAGAGTTTTTTTTTGGTTAATGCGGATTTCCACCCCAGCCGAGTTAATCATTAGTTAGTGGGCAAAGCAGTGAACATTTAAGTTGTTCCTGGCCTTTGCTACAGTTTTCCACATCAGCGTTTAAAACGGGAGTAAATGAGATCAAACTCGCACCTAGCAATTAAATATTTACCGGCTAATCTGCGCAGAATTGTAGGAGGTAACGGGCCAGCTGATGAGTTCAGCGCAATTAAGTGTCTTTGAGGATCAAGTAATTGATGAGTAATAATTAGAAATAAACCTCAGTCAACAAGGCAAGTTTATATTATCTTTTACCTACTTCATTTAATCCATAGAATCACTCTGCCTGCCACGTCGGTTTAAATATTATAGGGTGATTCTTTCTCTATATTGTCGTTATGATTGGTACCGTTTTAGCGACGAAAACAGCCTTTCTTTTATTAATTGTTCACCTTATGGTGCCTTTTTAAATTATAATTAAGAACAATCTCACGTGGAATAGAGTAATTAAATACAGGCGGCTTCCCCCCCCGCGCGCGAGAGAGCGATGTTACAGTAATTATCGATTTGCTGATGTTTATTTTCTTCTTGTATTTGATTTTTTTTAAAATAAACTCGAGTTAATGCAGAAATAAGGACCCACCGCGCTTAGAAACCTCATGCGAAAGCCGTAAGTAACAATTAAGCTCTGACTTTGGAAACAGTCGGAAAGTGTGTTTTCAAACTGTCTTGCTTGGGCGATTTTTATCAGTGCAACAGTCTCACAGGGTGAATGAGGGGAAAGATCTCGGGGTAGCGAATAAAAAAAAAAGAAAAGCCTTCTGTTTAATGTGCTTAAAATTAAAAGTTCAGATTTATAATAGCTAAGAATATGTAACGAAACATCTCACCATTTTGTTAATGTTTTAACATTTAATTTTAAGAATTGTAAATGACGATTGATTCGGACTCTTAGCCTCAAACTTTTTTTTGTTAAAACGTTTTAAAAAGGCTGAAATCTGTGCTGTGAAAAATAGGCGAGAGGAACTCGAAAAGTCTTTTTATGAGCTCTTGCGGGACTCCTTCGACTTTAATTCAGTGGGTGCATCTATTTAAACATTTTTAAGTGTAACATGGAGTCCACTTACCGAGCTCCTTATTTATTCTTAAGGAAGTATACAAAGAAACTATTTTCGAAAAAAAAAGTTGAAATAAATCGCAGTCTGTTTTTTCCTTTGGGTCGCTACGGTCTGTTTTGAATTTAAAAGTTTCCTTTGGAGTTCTGACCTTTCTTTGCCAGAGAGTACTCAGTAGTTTTTGGTTCCTTTAAAAAAAAAGATGAAAATTCATTTCTTCACATTTTAATTTTTATTTTACACTAAAAAAGCTAGAATGGGTTTAAAACCCAGACAGAAAGAGACCTAAATGATTTTCAGTATAATTGTAATGAAGCTGTACCTAGGAACACGGACTTACTGTAATTAACTTATGCAAAACGCATCAAGCCCTTATATACACATTTTCTAAGCATATATATATATAATTTTCGTAATTATGACCTCATACATTAAAATATTTGGCATAAACCTCGAACAATGCTATCAGTTCCCTGAATAAATCTTGATCAATGTGATTTATCAGAGCAAATACAAACACAAAAAACATTTCATTTTACGAATAGAGTATTTACTTACATAAACAAATCTAGCATGTACACAGAGCAGTGAGCGATCTTCGGAGAAGTTACTCAAAATGACAGGCATGCCCGACTTGTTTTTCTGTCTCGGTAAAACAAGGCTAATAGTTTTAAAAGAGCGCTGTTCTCGTAGGTGCGATTCCTCGGCGGTGTTTCCGCTGAGATTCCGGGCTCTCTCGCTGCTTGTCCCAGTTTCCTCCTGGCGACACTGGCTTCTGAATTCCCCCCTCCCTCCCCAAACAGTTTGTCGCTTGGTTTCTTTCAGGGGGCGAGTTCGAAAATGTGTTTGTGCTGCTCGGAGTCCGACCGGTTTCACAAAGGAAAACCCTGCATCGAGAGAGAGAAAAAAAAATGTATAATAGAAACGCGTCTGAAAGGAAAGCCCATTTCCTTTAGGTGTTATTTCCTTAAATGATCGCCTTTTCGCTTATTTAAAAAATACAATTAACAGCCCCGGTCTGCAGTTTGCGCTTATAAATAATTAATGTGCGCTTGGGACTAAAATGGTGAATTTGCCTGTTTGTGCAGAAACCTGTACGTTCGGGGGCTCTTTTCGGTTTTCCGCTGCCTGTACCGGGGAACACGAAATCATAACGGCCGAGAAATACCAGAGAAAGATCCGGGCCAATTCTTCCGGACAGCGATCAAAACAAGAGCCGTCGATGGAAGAGGAGGGGAGGACCTTCTGCAAGGCGACGGTGGAGATAATTCTCAGGTGTAACGTTTCGTGTGTTTTTCTTTGTCTGGGGAGGTGGATGAAGTTTGAAAAGCACTGCCTTGCCGTGCAGAATGGTAGCCTCTAGCCTGATAGAAGAGGCAGGCTTGCTGACCATAAAACAACAACAACAAAACTTTCTACTGTATGAAAGTAAAAACGGTTATCGGCGTTCATGGGGGAATTGAGGACAACTCGCTGAAAGACTTGGCGTTTTCTCAGACTTTTCAGTTCGGTTTTGAAACGCTGTAGGGGGTCAGCAACCGTGCTAGTCAGTAAAGCGGTTCAAGAGACGTGGGTATTAAATGCGAACATAAGCCTTCTGTTTTCATAACAGGCTTAATGGATCACTGAGAAAAGGTACAGTGAGCTATCAGGATAGGTGGCACTAGTTAACGAGACCAGAGCCCGGAACCTCCGTGGGCGACTGCGTGTTTGGCAGGCGTCAGTCACACTGTAGTGTAGCACCGAATGGACCGTGTTGGAAGGATAAAACCCGAAATTTCCCCAAACTTGTTGCTGCCAGTCGGCAATTCCTCCTGTTATTTCTATGAACCTGCGTGTGTCATTGCTTGCTGTTTAAGGGACACATACGTGTACAAAATAAAATAAAAGCTCGGTAACGATTTTAAAAACAAGGCGCATAGGCGAAACTCTTAAAAACAACAACAACAACAACATGAATCTAACCAAATTGAACGAAGCGGATCTTCTCAATAACGGCGCACACACACTCACACAGACTCGCGCAACTCACACAATGGCCAAAACACGACAGATACAGTATCGGTGCCACTGCAAATGGGCGACAGATTTGACCGGTCTGTACAGTCTGGCAGCTGCGGGACCCGCAGTTTCTGTGACTGTGCTGTCTCCGGGGCTGCGCTCGTTAACGCGGAAGTTTTACATTTCGAGCTGGAAAGAAGAGTTTTTTGAGGAGGATTTTCTCTCTTGGAAAAGGGGGGGGGGGGGGTGGGGGTAAAAAGAGAGGAAATAAGGAGGTTTCAGATCTCTGCCGGGATCCCTGATGCGCGGAATAAGACGCTCCTCACGGGTGCTCGCGATTGGCCGGCTGCTGATCATATGGTATGGTTTTCCTCTGTCCCGCAGTGGCACCTCGCCACCCCCCCTTCAGCTAAAACCCAATCTCCGATAAACTACTAATAGCTAAACCACTTGGACTATAAAACACAACAAATCATAAACCAAGGAAAAGCACTGTACCCTCCCAATGAGTTCGTATTTTGTAAACTCTACTTTCCCAGTGACTCTGCCCGGCGGACAGGAGTCTTTCTTGGGACAGATCCCGTTATATTCCTCCGGATACACGGATCCTTTAAGACACTACCCCGGCGCAGCCTATGGATCTACAAGCGTGCCGGATAAGGCTTATCCATCCTCTTATTACCAGCAGGCAAACGCTGCCTACGGCCGGACGAGTACGGCGGCCGCCTGCGATTATGCCGCGGCCAGTTTTTACAGGGACAAGGACGCAGCCTGTGCGCTCTCGAGCCTGGAGGAGCACGCGCTGGGGTCGAACCCCGAGCCGCGGAAGGCGGACTGCACGGCGCACAGTAAAAACATATTCGCTGAGAGCGAGGAGCAGAAGACCCCCACTCCGGTCTACCCCTGGATGCAGCGGATGAACTCCTGCAACGGTGAGTCAGCTTCTCATTTTTCATGCAGCTGCGCTGGTTGTGTAGCAGCGCTGTGATTTTACAGTAGGCGGTTACGGCTGGAGTGAACTGTGTCGGGGGATTTCGCAGCGAGGAGAGAATGCGTCCCTGGCAATCTGAACTAGTCTAAACTCACCCCCCAGGCTGGAGCTGGAGGAAACATAGCCTTTAGAAAGTCTGCCTTGTCCTCCATATTTACAGTTGTCCACCTACTTATTTGATATTTTTGGACTGGCTGTAAAAATAAAACCCAAAATACTCTCCTGACAGGACTTAACAGTCAAAAAATAAAATAAAATCGTACCTGCTTTTTCGAACTGCCCGTGGATTGGACAGCTGTACGTCGAATAATTTGAGAACATGTTTATTCTAGAGTGTAGTCGCTTAATTGGTCGCTTCGGCGGAGTAACACTCCTCACACGATATTTCAGACAAGGCATTGTTGTAATGGGCTATTAATGTAAGCCGTTATTAGTGCTCGTCAGCTACTGTGGAAATGTTAAGCGAGGCTAAGCAAAACAAAATCCCCCCCCCCCCCCCCCCCGAAAACAAAATTGTATTTTTAGGAGGACGTCGGAATCGACTTTCAGAAACTTCACAACATACAGGCACGCCAGTCTTTGCCATTGGTTAATTCTTATCTTTGATCTACAGCTAGTTTGAGTGCGACCTCCTTAATCAAAAAGTTAATAGTCTCCATGTTTAGATTTATTGTTTGTTGGCTCAAAGGAACCGAATTGATGTCCATTAGTACTGTACATAAAGTGTAGGTAGATCCGTTAATGTGCACAGTTATACTAATCAATATGGAACTCATTATTCTTTAAATGCGGAGATGTATCACTGGTGGCGAGAGGCGCGTGGGCTGAAAACGGCAGCCGTGATTTTATTCCTGAAAGACACAGACACGTGTGGGAGAGATGACAGATTCCAACAAAAGGCTTTATTTTGTTTCCACGCAAATGTGTGCTTCATGCGTCAGGATGATGTATAACGCCTTATTGTTGGAAGTCGTATCTGACCAGTACGACTAACTTTACGTTTGTTTAAACGGAGGTGGATAAACTACGATATTAGCAAATACCTACTAATAACGATGATAGGCGCCGTTGTAGAGGTGAGGATGGGGGGTGGGGGGACAGTCGGTTCTGTCACTGGGAGTTTGTTAGTAATGCTTCGTCATGCTTTGAGAAACTCGCCAGCAGTTGACTAAATGCAACGAAACGACTGTGAGGATTTGCCGAGCCTGGTCGGCGTTCTTCGGCAGCATTCACTACTGTGATTAACACGTTAAATTCTGGGCCATTGAGCGTGACTCGTCTCTTTTCTTTTCGCCCTGGGCAGGCTCGGTCTTCGGAAACACTGGCCGCCGGGGCCGGCAGACCTACACCCGCTACCAGACGCTGGAGCTGGAGAAGGAGTTCCACTTCAACAGGTATCTGACACGGCGGCGGCGCATCGAGATCGCGCACGCCCTCTGCCTGACCGAGCGGCAGATCAAGATCTGGTTCCAGAACCGCCGCATGAAATGGAAGAAGGAGAACAAGCTGATCAACTCCTCACAAACCAGCGGGGAAGAGGAGGAAGAAAAGCGGACAGAATAATCAACAGACAATGAAGATAAACGCGGATTCCGCGCTATTCTAATTATGAAATATAAAGACTTGTATTTTTTTTAATTTACACTTCCTTCCAGATTTCCACCAGTGAAAAACGTGTTGAGTAAATTCGTTGTAGCATTCCAGAATTTCACCTAACGTCTCCTTTTGACTCGATATTGTTCTTGGCTTTTATTTGATATTTTCCCGTTTTGCGGAAAACCGGTCTACTTGTTTTGTTGGTTGCCAACTCCTCAGTTTAACATTTGCCTCAGTGACTTCAATGACTATGTTTAAGGAAGCTGTTTGAAATAATTGTCATAGTCGTGTTCATATTTAAACTCTGTATAAAAAGAAGAAAATAGTTCCGTGCACGGTTGAGTTATGTATTTCTTTTGTAAGTTAAATGCCCGCGGTCTGTGTGAGTTGTTTTATAGTTTAAGGGACAAAAATAAATCTACTGAGAAAAATAGAACTACCTAGGCTGGCTCAAAAGTTTCTATTTTATTAATTTTGTACGTGGTTGTGTTTGTAGTTTTGTCACAAAGGGTATCTAATGGCGAAATCATTCAATAAAAAATAATTATGCCTCAACTTGTTCCTCTCTGTTTGCTCCAAATCTCATCTACATAATTAAGTCTTTTGAAGTCCGTCTGTTTTTAAAGTGCATTCGTGTCATACCTGTGGCAAAACCCAAATATTTCAACCCCCTTAGCAGCAGGGGTGGGTGGGGGCGAAAAACAAAACTCGCTCGTCTTGTCGACCACTCGAAATCTGAAATAAGCCGGCGACTCGCGAGTGTAAAACGGAGCTGTGCTATTTCACACGCCGTGAAAATACGGACTGTATTTTCAGTTCTCGTGTGCGTGATCCCGAGGTGAAATGTGAACTTTTTTTAAAAAAAAAACGCTAATTGCCCTAATTTCCCTGACTTCGCCTCGCATCTCGGCCAGCCCCGAGCCAGAGCGGAGCCCCGCCGGCGGCCCTGAGCCGGAGCCGGAGTCGGGGTTCGGTGTTGAGGGGAGTCTGGAGGCAGGAGACTTGGGGGGGCGGCGTGTGCCAGCAGGGCAGCGGCTGGAGGAACTGTTTTCCAGGCTGAAAGGAAAAGTGACCCCATCACTGCCGGCCTTCTCCCTACACGAAAGTAGCCGCGCGCCCCCTTCCCCCCCCCACCACGAGCGCCCGACGGATAAAGGAATAGTTTTCTTTTATTGAGTTGATTGCTTTTAGATTTTTTTAACCCCCTTTGAGAATTTTTTTTTTCCAGAGCACGCCTTTTGCTTTTAAAAAAAATAAATAAAAATAATTATAATGCAGGCGTTTTTCGATTGCACGAGATTCGTTGGATTCATTAACTTGGGCACATGATGTAATTTATGTATTTTCCAGGAAGGTGATACACTATATATTTTTTTTCCAACATGCCACATGAACACGGACCTCAAATGTACGAAAACAGTTCCTTACTTACAGTAAGCGCGTCGAAGCTATTGCACACGTTATGAGTACAAATCTATATAGTATTTGTGAATGCCTTTATGTATATAAGACTGTCAAAGTCAACAGACCACAAATAGCGGCATTCTTTCCTCGTTTTTAATAAACAAAAAATGTGCTAATCACTCAGCCTAACTTTTTTTTATTTCGAAGCGTTTGTAGGATGCTTTACACCGACAAACTCCTACGTATGTAACGTAGGATATAGGATTATATCCGCCTGATATAGGATTTTCCGTTGGAAGTGTCCGACACGACCACGGTTTTAGAACTCAGAAACTTGTTTTTTACAGCTGTATCACAGGACTTTCTTCACAAGCACTGCGCGTTAACGATGAAGGCGAACGCCGGACAGATTGAAAACACGAAAGATCACCCGTACAGGGGTAAAAGGACGAAAGCTCACGGCTTGCAAAAGGAGAAAGTAGGAGTAGTTTGAGCATAGCGACTAAAAAGCAGAAATAACTATTTTTTCTCGCGTCCCTACATACACGACCTTAAAATTAAAATGGGGAGTCTTTGAGATGCGCATAACCACAAATATAGAGGTGAATATTTCAACGTGTCTATGATTCTTAGCTTCTGTTTTTTTAAAAAAATTATTTTGAGACCGGCTATTAATGCGGCTGCTGATGCACCACCGTTTAAAACAACTTATTTTTCATCTCATCTTCAAAATAAACCCGTTTTCACAGCAATATGGTTTTAAACTTGATTTTAATATGACTGTGACTTTCCTACTATTGCAATTCATTTACCACTTCACGGCGAATTTTCTGTAAAATACAATCTTATTCATGCAATATGTCTTTTATTATTAGTAGTAGTATTATTATTAGTATTTGTATTATTATGTTATCTGTATAAAACAGCAAAATAAATCTAAATTCATTTGAATTTTAAGCACCAACAAGAAAGACAAGGGCGCTAATAAATCATTATTATGATTATTGTTATCAGAGAAAGATAAAAGCGAAATAAGAAAGTGAACAGGGATCCTCCTTCTGTGCAATAAATTATATTCCCAGTAGGTGACGCTCTCTGCCAGCACGCTGCACAACCCAGCGATTGGGAGGCGCACACTGACTTCAGCCTAACGATTCTCATCTCGTCATCATTTGTAACCATAGCGCATGAATTACCTCTTGAAGTCATCAGTGAGAATTTACGACTGGTCAACAAAAGCACGTGATTCCCCACCGCACCCCCACCCCCATATTTGGCCGCATACATAGCAAAAACGAAGTACAGTGCATTGCTATAATTCATTAATACATCATAAATCGTGAAGCACAGCGTTATAACGACCAAGATCTACAAATCAAGCCCTCTAAAATAACCTAAATGAGCTCTTACTTTGTAAACTCGTTCTCAGGGCGCTACCCAAATGGCCCCGACTATCAGATACTAAATTATGGAACCAGCAGCAGCGCTATGAACGGTTCGTACAGGGACCCCGGCACCATGCATTCGGGCTCATACGGTTACAACTACAATGGAATGGACCTAAGCGTCAATCGCTCAGCCTCCTCCAGCCACTTTGGGGCTGTTGGAGATAACTCCCGTGGTTTTCCGTCTCCAGCCCCGGAGACGAGGTTCCGGCAGCCGTCGAGCTGCTCGCTGTCGCCTCCCGAGTCTCTGCCCTGCTCCAACAGCGAGACGCTCGGACCCAAAAGCTCCTCGTCCCCTTCCGATCAGACCGCCAGCGCGGCCAGCAATAACCTCACCACCAACAACAGCAGCAGCAGCAGCAGTACACATTTCACAGAGCTAGACGAGACCAGCGCCTCTTCTGAGACCGAAGAAGGCACCCACAGAGCCAGCAACCCCATTCCCCGGACACAGCAACAGCAAGAGGCTGCCGCAACCTCCGCGACAGCGGCGGTCGAGGGGCAGGCGCCGCAAATATTCCCCTGGATGCGGAAACTCCATATTAGTCATGGTATATATACATCAAACTATTCTCCTTCTTGTTGTTATGGATGCGCCTGTGTTTTATTTCATGCCGCCGTTTTATCCGTTAGTGTTTTTTTTTTTTACTGTATAGCCTAAATCTGCCTTTATTGCCGACTGTTCCCCCGAAAGCGTCATAAATCTCCCGAGCGCTGCCTTGCTGGAACTCCGGGCAGGGAGAGAGAAGAAAGAGGAGAGAGGGGGAAAGGAACGGGAGAGACAGGGAAGTTTTCTGCTCCCCTGCAAAACTTCATTTTAGTGCGTGTGGGGACTTGTTTACTGGGGAGGAAGACGGAGCCATAGAGCAGGGGAAGAGAGGTAGGGCAGGCGGAGAAAGCATTGGGCGGAAAAGGTGATTTTGGTGGGAGCACAGCCATGTAGCCAGTCAGAGAGAGAGAGAGAGATCGGTAAATCTCAAGGAGGCTGCGATCGGGAGGTTTTGCTAAGTTTTAAAAAGTGAAACGCTGATGAAAGAACTTTCATCTTTAAAATCCAGGACAGGTAATACGGAGGGTTTTGGCGATGCTGTGGTTTTTTTTTTTTAGGACTTTGCAAAACATGTCTCGCTGTAACTCTAGTGTGTGTGTGAGTGTGTATATTCTGCGTTTATAATATAATTATTTTCTCCCGGTGCTGCTGCTGATGATTATGATGATGATAATTATGGTGGTGGTAGTCCACTCGCGTTAATGGCTATTCCTACATTTGTTCACGCTATTCAGATATGACTGGACCAGATGGGAAAAGGGCCCGGACAGCGTACACCAGATACCAGACGCTAGAGCTGGAGAAGGAATTTCATTTCAATAGGTATCTAACCCGGAGGAGGAGGATAGAGATAGCCCACGCTCTCTGCCTGTCGGAACGGCAAATTAAAATCTGGTTCCAAAACAGGAGAATGAAATGGAAGAAGGATAATAAATTGAAAAGCATGAGCCTCGCTACTGCAGGTAGCGCATTTCAACCCTAGTGTGCGTTTTAAGAAATAGAAATTAAAATGTTGGAGGAGGGAAAAAATGAAAATAAAAAAATAAATACGAATAACACTATTCTGAATCCGGAGTACTGTACAGAGAGGCATCTTCTCCGCATGTTGTTGGTGTTTAAGACAACTATAAAAAAAAATCTACTGTGGTACTGCTAACACAAACTTGTGTTTATCTGTTGTTGTCGTTTTTTTGTTTTTGTTGTTTTTTAAATGACGTTTTTTTTTTATTTGAAAAGGGAAAAAATATGCTCTCCAATGCCCGTTGTTATTGTTATAAATATCGTTTTCGGTGTTAAGTGCATTGTTGATGCTTTCTTGAAAGTTAGCATGTTTCCTGTGAGCTCCTAAATGTTATAACTTATTTACAATCTGTAACAGCTGTATAGTTTTAAGTTTACAATCTAGAATCTCCTCTGCCCCAGTAAAAAAAAAAAAACATAGACGCTCGTGGCTCTTGCAAAACATTTGCAAAAGTCTTTGCTCTGTTACTTTTTGTGTTATTTTATTATTTTGTCATGTCTTCAGATTTTACTTTATTTTGTTTAAAAAGAAGAAATGTACATTGCAGTCTAAATTTCTGTCTCCGTTCATTAAGTGTGTATAATTCTATTCGAAATGGTAATTGTATATTATTGTATCATTCATACGCTCCAGAGAAGATGTACATACTAGACATGTTACTGTGACCAATAGCTTGTTTGTAGTGGGCAGAGTGAATGACAAACGTTTTGTGGAAAAAATGGCAACTGTCATGTCTGACTGCCTGTAAGCATTTTGCCAATAAGCTTTTTGTATTTGTTTGTAGCTTAACTTGAAGTAAAAAAAAACAATAAAGTTTCTCTTATTCAGAGCCAGTGGGTCTAAGCATTGATTTCATGTCTGAATCGGCCTCCAGTGTCCCACGAAACGGCATCAAAATCGCTCCAGAAACAGAATCTGCACTGAACCCCTTATTGCGTTATCAAATTAAGCGTTGTGGCTCCGATTCAATCTTATTTTTCTCTCTGCACACTGTCTTGGAAACGCTACAAAGCAGGTTGTTTTTAGTGCAGCTTACACCTAACATATCGCGCGGAAAATGTCTCTTCCAAAAGCAAATTCAACTCAAAGAAACGGACAGATCTTTTTAAAAGGCAAATTTAAATCCAATCCGTCTTTTTTTTTTTTTTGCTCGTGCGAGGTCAGTCGACGGGTCCAGAATTCCACTGTGCTTCTGTGTCCGGTGGCGAGTGAAACGATATTAATCTGTACCAAACTGAACCAAGTTACGACAATTCAAAAGCAAGTTCCTGCGTTTGGGCGGGGGGGTGAGAAAAACTTGGCAAAGTTAGAGGATGATCAACCGGTCTCTCCTAAACATCTCGATCAAACGATTAAACCATTTTCTCAGTTTTCCACTCTGAGATCCGACAATTAAAAGAACCCGGACTGCATACAGCCCAGCCATTATCAATGCGTCTCTCTCGGTAAAAAAGGACACTCTCCCGCGCTCTCTAGCTTACTTTCTTTTTAATAAGCAAACTTTGAACTTGTAAACTTACCAATTAATCCCCCACTGTTGAGATACTTCCCACATTTCTTTTGAGAGCTCGGGGTGGAGTGGAGGCGCTCTCAAGCCAAATGTAACCATCTGCCTTTCTCTGCCTCCCCGCGTTTTGAAATTTTGCTGTACCCTTTGCCAAAGTATACCAAAAGTAGCTATGACATTTGCATGTCAAACGGATGAGGGTTTTTATCTAGAAGTTAGATCGTAAAAATCGCCCAGGCCACAGACAGATACCCCTCACTGGCTCTGAAAAGTCACGTGGGGTCCATAAAGTTAGTTTTATGGTTTTGGGGAGTTGACAATGTACTATATATTTCACATTCTAGAATGTAAGTGACGGTTTAACTGCTTCGAAGGGATTCTAAAGCAGGTCAGTAACGTGTGAACACTTTTCCGAGCGACTTCTGTACCCGCGGTTTGCTCTGGGCGCTGCGCCGCAGTCTCAGCTCTTGTGTTTTACCCGGGTCTTTTTGGCTAAAAAAACCACCCAGACAGAAAGAAGACTGTTTCAGCTCAAAGTAAGTCCAGTTGCTATACTGTCTATATTGGCTGGTGGCTGGTTTCTGGGCTGGCGAGGGGAGGGTGGGGGTGGGTGTATGGGGGGGGTCTCTGTAATTGTGGTGTCATTACTGATAGACAGTTATGCTATACTCCGGTTGAATTTTTTGAGTGTTGTTTAGTCCCAGGACTTTTGTATGTTTAAGGCACTTAAGTTAATGTAGACTACGTATGCAGAATATGTATACATATATCTAAACATTTTTATAAAAGAGCAGTCCACCATTTGCGGCGACGTCGCCAGCACAGTAGAAGTTCTGCTTAGGTTTTATGGCTGTCTTCTCGCCAGCGTCTTTTGTCTCTCAGTAGCGTTGAATAAAGACACGAATGATTTGTGGAAGGGTAAAATACAATGTTGTAATCTGAAATAATTCCAAATGCTACAGAATGTTTACAAGAGTTCACTTAGCTTTCTCATTGTGCTCCATGAAACGTGTCTCTGATAATGTTACCTTGCTCGCTATGGGCGAATCGTATCCTTTGCAGGATATTTTCAAGTGTGTGGCTCTAATTTCGTGTCGCAGTAGTTTTCTCTGTGACGCTACTTCTTTCCCTGAAATGATCCCGTAATTTATCTGTAATTTCGAGGTCAAGCGAGTAGCAAAATAGAAAACACATTGACTTATACATCTGCAGACTGGGATTGTTAGACGCGGTTTGGAAATGAATCATTTTTTAACCTAGAGTAACAGGCTTAAACACTGGACTGATAAGGAGCTGTTTTTTTATGCACCAGCTACAGGTAAAAAATAAACTAATCGTTCATAATGGACAGGGAGATTCGTCGTTTATAAGTACACAATGTAAGTTTTAAAGCGTCATAAAACATTTGTATATAAAAATTTTTCGGACAGTATTTTTGATCTGTGTAATAATTTGTGGATCATACTGTACGTGTAACTTCTATTGTAGGCAGAAGTGTTAGGGACAGCGCCTAATTGTCGTTTTTTTTTCTTCTATTGCAACGGACTAGCGTTGTTTCCTAACTTCTTTGTAATTTGTTCATAATCCTAGATATGGCCCCATTAAATCAATTTCTGAGTTAGAATAGAAAACTGTACGAAGTTTGAAGCCAATCTTCATTAATCTCAGCAACACCCAGTCCCTGTTACACTCGAAGTCCTTAGCATTGAATTGAATTTCTACAAAACCAGTATATATGTACACACACCGACGCAGGAATCCAAATCCATACGTGGATCATTTTTAACAGGCCAGATACCTGAGCCAAAGACTGGCCGAAAAGCGCTTGGGCGAGAGGATCTGAGCAGCCGGCGTGTGGCGGTATTCGAAAATGTGGCGTCATTTATTTAGGAAGTATTTAAACGGTTCACCCTTTCAGCTCAAATCATTCTCAAACAAGTATTTTATTCGTCACTGCTGCAATTGTCTCCAAAATGTCCAAATAGCTAATTTCCTCTCAAACAAATTAAAAAAATATATTCCGGATGAAGCGCATTGTTCCCACTCTCAGACGAACTTCCTACAGCACAGCAGCGAGTGTGTCTAACGATTCGTGTTCTAGTATATGGTTTAGTTCGGTTCTAGGCCATTCGTCACCGAATTCGTCTGCTGCTCTCCAGCGGTTTTGTTCTCAAATGTGTTTGAAACAGATGAAAGAACTCTACAAGTACGAACTTCACCCCCGCCGCAACGTACGCCACTGCATGAAAGTTTTAATCAGCAGATTCACACAAAAAAAACACAACATGTAATATTCTTTCTGATTTTAGTTCACATGCAAAATGGTGGTGATTTTAATGCGCACAGGTATTGAGAGGCACAAAACATCGCGATTACCTAAGATGAAAAAAGCAGGCCTGTTGTATAGTACCGTCTCTATAGACTCAGCTCAACAATAATGCAGGTGTTAAACTGTAGACTCAGCCGCATAATAAAAAAAAACAGCCACCGGACCCATGACCGCTTATAGTATTTTGTGGAACACTAATTAACAACGTTCCAAATATCATAAACGTTAGTTATGTGAATAACATCCACAGAAATCTAATATTACATGTGAAGATACTCTTGCATATTTAAGTAAGCGGTCACTGCTCTATTTCTTCACAAATATATTTAATCTGATAGATCTCCTTACTAATGTGTCACTTAAACCAAACTTTATTTTAGTGATAATTTATCCATTTATAGTTCCTTGGCCAAATTAAGTTACAGAGCGAGAAAGGGGAGTCCGTATTTAGGACCGTTTTGAAGACACTGAATACAGATCGGAGAAAACAGAATAAAATACTTGTAAAATATATCTACCTTTTACGCTTATTTTTACTTCAGGTAACTCAAGAAGCTCAACTGAGATTTATTTTCGACCTCATGTTCCGCGGTAGGCTGCTATAAACGGTGCTTCCACAGCTACGTTCCTATTTTAAAACCCATCTCACTAAAATTACATTACCGGTGTGTTTCAAGAGTTTGTTATTTCGGGGTTAATACCCTATGTTGAAAAAGTCAAGAATCCGACATCACCGAATTGTTTATTCGGAACCTGGTGATGTTACAGTTGTGGACCGCTCTCAAGACGCTACGTGTTGCTGTAGTTCATAACCAGCAGTGTGAACTCGTCCTCTCGGTTTCCGGTGTCGTTTGCAGTTCCTTCTTATTTTATCGGGCCCTGAAGTTGGCAATCTGGTTTTTTTTTTCTTTTTCCCCTCTTTCTGCTGTCTGATCGAGTGAGGAAGTTTCAGGGGAGTAAACAGGAAAGCGACGCTCGGAGCACGATGAAGAGCGAGAGATCCCATCCCGTTCCGAACTGCCTTCCTGTTCTGAACGGTACAGTTAACGCGGACTGGGGTTTCTCGTTCGAAGAAACTTCTGATTTTAACACATTTTTTTTCCCCTTTTAAAAAATGCCGTCCTCGTGGCTCGCAAACCCGTGTTTTCGAAAAGCGCAGATCCTGCCTCAAAGCCATATAAGGCCCTGGCTTCCTGAACGTTTGAACACGAGACGTGTTAGCGAGTGTGTAAAGGTTTAGGTGTGTAGGTGAGTAAGCTGCTTTTAACTGTAAGGTGTGTGTGTTTGTCTGGGCGAGGCTGGGGCGTATGGTATAGTTATATTCACTGTGCAATGCAATACTTATTGAAAAAGGCAGAGGTTTAGGCGCTAAAAGAACAGAATAATTACTACGGAGGACTTAAGAAGTTAGTATTGAAAGACTCCTGTTCTCAAATTGCAGTAACCGCCTTTGGTTGCAGTTTAATTTATGAAGTCGAGCCAAATAGCTCAGAAGGGATATGTGATGTTTTGTGGTGGGTTTTTGTCAATATATCTGAAAATATAAGTCGCAATTATTTTTAAAGGTTTGCTTTGTAAGTTATAAAACACAATTTAAAAAAAAACTGTAATTCGTTATCTTGCACGGGGTTGAGGCTCGAAGCTTTCGGTGAAACGAGAGAAACGATAAAATCGTTAACTTCTATATTAATGAAGACCCCCCCACCACCACCCCATGTTATAGCCCCATTCATAAGTTGCAGAACAGCGATATCCGCAAAACAACCAACTAACAGGAGAGCCTTCTTCACATCGGTTTGAAAACACTGCAGCGCAAGGATTCTAAACGATTAAATTGCCATTTTAACAGTATAATGTGTTTTGCATATTGATAGGGGTAATCTGTGCGCATATCTCATCAATAATTCATGGAGAAGGGGATCATCGGAAGGTCAGCAGACTGGTGCGGTAGCGGTTTCTATACTGGAGGCGCAGAATCCGCAACACTCCGGAG